GGGAGTGGGATGCCAGTGGAGGCAGAGAGTCCCCCGCATCTCCCCCCTCCCAGCATTTCTCCCCCCCCCCCGGAAACCAGTGCGTGCCTGCCCCGGGACCGACCCCCCCCAGGGAAGCCCTGCGCGCGCGCCTGCCCCGGGGCCAACTCCCCCCTCCACGCAGGGAAGCCCCGCGCGCGCGCGCGCTCCCCTGCCCCGGGGCCAACTCCCCCCATGCAGGAAAGCCTTGCGTGCGCCTGCCCAGGGGGCTGACCCCGCGGGTGCTTATCCCGGCGCCAACCCCCTCCTCATGCTGGGAAGCCCTGGGGCCAAACCCCCGCGCACCGGAAGCAGACACTACCTCCGTCTTCTCTGGAGGTAAGTAGTGGGGCTTCTGGGGGTTGGGTGGGAAATGGGGACGGGGCTGACAGGATGCCTCGCGAGCGACTGGTCGAGGCCTCAAGATCGACCAGTAGCGCGCGAGCGACCGGTTGGTGACCACGGCTGTAGTCTAGACTGGCCACAAATTCTGGAAAAGGGATGCAAATCAGGTAAGTCAGCATAGGGAAATCCGCGGGGGATTTAAATATCCCTCGTGGATTTAAATAAACATGTCCGCCGCTTTTTTGCCAGCTTGGGGAAAAGCCGCAAAAAAAGCGTCTAGACTGGCGCGATCCTCCGGAATAAAGTCCTTTTCCGGAATAAAGCCCTGAAGGTAGGAATAAGAGATCCTCCAGAAAAGGGCTTTATTCCGGAGGATCGCGCCAGTCTAGACGCTTTTTTTCGGCTTTTCCCCAAGCCGGAAAAAAGCGGCGGACATGTTTATTTAAATCTGCGGGGGATATTTAAATCCCCCGCGGATTTCCCTATACTGACTTACCTGATTTGCATCCCTTTTCCGGAATTTGTGGCCAGTCTAGACGTAGCCAACCAGTTTATAGTACCTTCTGATACTCCGGCATATCTGATAATCCGGCACCACCTAGGTCCCATAGGTTCCGGATTATCGGAAGTCTACTGTACAATGATGTGAGTGAATTGTTGTGGGAAGGCTTCATTTTAAAAGCCTCCAGGTTTAAAAAATAATTAATTAATTAATTTATTATTGGATCACAGGGACACCTAGAAGCCCCAGTCTCAGACCAGGAACCCATGATGTTGTGAGCAGTGCAAACAAGAACAAAAGCAATATAACCTTTCCACTCTTCAATGGAAAAAACAATACCACTACCCTCTTCTGCTTTTGTGTTTGATGCTCTGTAGTGATTGAGCAGTGTTTTTTCCTTGTTTCCACCCCACCCGCCCCTACTGATCTTCCAGCTGGCATCAAACCCAAGAGCAGAGCCAGAGTCTAAAAGAGAAAGGCAGCTGAATCAGAAGAAGCCTTTAGGGTTCAGGATCACGTCTTTCCAATGCAGGGCAAGATTCGCAGCCAGTGTAAATCGGCACAGATCTGGTGTCATCTATCGATGTTGGTGAAAGATCTATGGAGGATCTGGCCTATTATTACAAGAACACAGGCCACCTCAAGGAGTTTCCAGGGTAGGAGCTTTAAATTATGGAATGCCTCTTTCCTGTCTGGAAACTTGAACTTTTGAGATACTGTAATAACGTAAATAGGTGGCTGTGTCATAGCTCTCTTCTCCCTGAGCTAATGGTGAAGGCACACCCTTCATTTTAAGAGCTAGCAGTCCTACTCTTTTATTTAAAACTGAATTGACCTAATTTTAAAAAGAAATCAATTAAAATACCTAGGAAGGAATAATAAATAACAGCCAGAAAAGGGAAAGGAAACTCTAAAATCTCACAACATTATTTCTGTAATTTATTTTCAAAAGCACCTAAGAGATTTAGACGCATGAGTCTCATTGAAAACCAATTTGATTTTTAGGCAGATTTGAAAAATTTCCCCCTGTGCATGCTACATTGTTGAACATTTAGAAGACTTAATTTGCAAAAGCAATATGCAGAATTTAGACCAGGAAACAGATAACTTGGCCCATACAGTTTAATTTAATAGTTAATTTCAGTGTTGCCAACACTTGTGATTTTATCACAAGTCTCATGATATGCAGGGATTCTCAGAGCTGCTGACTGAAATGATAATAGTACCTAATATCTCTGAATTCATTTTTTAAAAGAATGTTTGCATGACAGATAATTTAAGAGGGTAGCTTGAAAACATGAACTCCAAAGTTTCTAACTGTATAAGGCAAATAACGAAAATGGGCAGGAACGAGGTATTTGGGTTTGAGAGAGATCTGGATTGCATTTAAATTAAAAAAGCGATCACATACTTAAAAAGGTTGGAGACTACTGGAATAGACAAACTCTTCTGACAAGTTTTTAAGTAGCTGCAACTTTTGTGCATGTGTAACCACCACCAGGTGTGTGGGTTACACATGCACCTCAGGGCACCTAGAAAACCTGCATTTTTGCAAATAGGCATTTGCATTCTCAAATTAAGTAGATAGACATGCAGTTATCTGATTTGCCTATGTTAATGGCTGTACATACATTATGTGTGAGTTTCAAGAATATGGCCATCGGCCATGGATTTTACAAGAATGGATGTCTTTACTTTCCAGCTTTGATTGTTACTATATTAATACAGGAATTAGCTCCACTTCTCCACAATACTAATCAGTTTAGACTTTTCTGAAAGAGCTTTGTGCAATACAGAAATTACATCCAATTAAGTTAATTTAAAATAAATGAGATTGCTGAGGCTTCTCTTAGAACTGTAGGATTTTCAAAAGGGGGATCATTTTAGCAGATCATACTTTGACCATTTTAAGCACTGCTACATTGTTCCCAAGAACAGGGAAGCAGGAACATGGGCTGTAGCCATTCCTTCCTCCTGTCTGTCTTGGCCAGATCCAGAAGTTTCTTTCTTAATCTGTACTGTTAGTCTGTAACAAATGCTGTGTCCATTTCCCCCCCATAGCTCAAAGGGAGCCTGTCAGCCCACAAATTGACTGTTGCTGCTTTCAAACCGGTATGTTGTTGTGTGTTTTATTTTATTTTAAAAGCTGTGGTTGGCTTGGTTTTAGTGCTGCAGTGCTTTGTGTTAGCATATGGGAAATTCATGTTTGAAAACAACCTCAGGGATTCCCATTTTCATGGCAAACAGAGATGATGGAGATTATGCACTTTATGCTTTGCTGCCAGGAGGGGGTAATTGAATATTTATTATTAATTATTATTATCGCTTGTATGCAATAGACCCCAGGCTCCCCAATCATAGATCAGGACCCTGTTGTTTTTGACACTGCAAACCCTTAACAAAAAGATGAAAGCATTGCAATGTCTCAGTTTTGTTATTCTTATGAGCTGCCTCCTTTCTGGGCTGATGGACATTTTATAAAGCAGGCAGCTCCATGATTCCCAGTGTCTAGAAAGTACATTATAGTTTCACAGCAGGATATTTGTAAAAAGGAAAGTGGCTGTGTATTAGGGATTAAAAGGTTTGTAAAACTAGTGCCACTCACTCCTAAAGTATCATCCCAAAACGAGTCCATAGTCTGTGGTTTTTCTGTCCTGAACACTGAGACCAGTGCATTCTGAGAAGAGCCAATATTGGCATTATTCATAGAAACAATGCACAGATTCTGAATGATTGTTCAATTTGACCATGTTAATAACTCTTATCACTAGCTACTAACAAACTGTAATGCAAGTACGGTGATCCACCAAGCTCTTAAACATGTGCTTAACTCCAAGCATGTTAGCAGTCCTTTTAAAATAAATAGGACTCTTTACAAGGGTGAAGTTAAGCATGTGCTTAAGTGTTTTGCTAGATCAGGACCTTAGTTACCAATAATTTTTTAGGAAAAGCTGTTCCACAGATGTTGTTTTAAGTCTTGAGTGAACAAAAGCATTCATTGTTTGCTATTAGGTTTTTGTGAATTTTTATTCATTATTCTCCTGTTTGAATATTTTTCTTGGAGCAGAACAGTATCAAGGGACTTTAGTAAATAATCATGCACCAAAAGCACTGGATTGGGAGAATTAAATAAATGTGTAAACTTCCGAATAGCCTGAAATATTTTTGTGTAAACTATTAAATGAATACTTATTAAAATGGAATATTTTCAAGAAACTAGAATTGGTTAGTGAATATTTCTGAAACAGGAAAAAAATACTAAGGCTCTATCTTCACTGCCACAAAATGTTACGAAAGCTTCTGAGGTGTAGCTGAGTTAGTCTGTAACAGAAAATACTTAAAAAACAACAAATAGTCTAGTAGCACCTTAAAGACTAACAAACCATGAGCTTTTGTGGGAACAACCCACTTCTTCAGATGACCGGAGTCATCTGAACGTCATGGTTTTTGATAGGATAGTTAACATGCATTAGCCATCTTGCTGTAAACCCGCAGTGAAGAGAAGGCACTTGTAGGTTTTACTGCAAGGTAGCGAGATGAGATCGGTATTATATCCCACATATTTACCTCCCTTTTCCTAGTTTATCTCATAGTAAAACCATAGTGTATTGTCTCCACAAGATCTTTACAGCAAGAAAGCTAATGCTGTATTGCCCTGAGCTACAAACATACATTTTGGGTGACCAAGACAAAACCTAACCACAGCAGATCAATTATTTGCAATAATTAGTGCAACCAATTCTAAAACTAAAAATTCAGTGGCACAAGTTGGATGATAGGATATTAATGTGTAGTGTAGGGCATGCCTACACTACAGAATTATTTTGAAATAACAAGTTGAGCATCCACGCAGCAAGCCCGTTATTTCAAAATTATTTTGAAATAACGGGCTGGTTATTTCAAAATAATAACCCCTCATTCTATGAGGAATACAGGCAGTCCCCGACTTACGCGGATCCGACATATGTCGGATCCGCAGTTACGAATGCGGCTTTTCTCACCCCGGAGGAAACGGACTGCGGGACCTCGCGGTCCCACCGCCCGTGTACTCCGGGGCGAGAAAAGCTGCTCCCCCGCTCCCCCGGGCCCAGACCCGG